GAAACGTTTCCATATCATATTGAATTCATAATAATTTAATCATATTATTTCCTATTATGTATCTTTCTAATAAATAAAGGTAACTAAACTTGATAATCTTTTTATTTATTTTTGTATAAAAGAATTCATATTTTTCATTTAAAATGTAGATCAAATATGTCTTCTAAAAAAGAAACTCGTATTGCATTAGTTGATTATAATTCCGATAATACTTTACCAGATTCTAATGTTAGATTTAACTCATCTCATGAAATTCTTCATCTGATCAATGAATTCAATGAGAAGAAACAATACCTTGAAAAAATAATTAACAAACATGACGAACATATAACTAACTTGTAAAAAAGATCATATTGAATATGAAAATAAAAAAGATGATGCAGATAGGAATTAACATGAACAAGAATTTATTCGTAATCTCAATCAATGTGAAAAGAGAATCTTCATAATTATAAAGTAGAAATTCTTAAAATAGAACAAGGAGGAATAGAAAATTCTAAAATTATAGTATTTTTATCTTTTGTGATTTCATTCTTTCTTTGCATATATTTTAATGCACACTTTAAATTATATATTTATATCATATTTATTTTTATCTTTTTTGTTCATATATTCTTAAATAAATTTGATTAAAAATATATTGTCATATACCTCGTTATCTTATATTTCATAATGCTTCAAGATGAAAATGGATTAAAAAAAATTATTTCTAAATTAGAAATTCCAATTATCAATTATATTATGCATTTCTTATTTAAATTTACATAAGTTATTAACTATAAGTTATCTATGACTATAAGGCTTAAATTATGCTTAAGAAAATTACTATTAAATAAAATAAATATTTATCTAGTGACCTTTACTAATTTTATTCATGCTAAAAATAAACTTTATACTAAACATAATAGGGTTTGAAAGTTATTAATAAATGTTAGATAATTTTCTTAGAAGTTTCATGTTTTTATTCTTAGTTCGTAGTTTAATTTTGTACTATTTCATACATGATGTACAATCAATATTAAGTGTTTTGTCTATTCTATTATTTTGTTGATGAGTGTTTATCTTTCGAAAATAAAATTATATAAACTCTTGAAATATCTCGATAAAATTATATTTACTATTGTTTTCGATTTATAACCTTTACTACTGTCGACTACAAATATATATCTGAAAAGAAAACACTTAACAAAGTTATAAGATATCTACAGTTTTATAACACAAATTAACCTATTTCATCTTTAAATAAATGTTTGGTATCACTTTCTTCATTATCTTTTTCTTTGGAGGAATT